GGATATATAAAATCTCACATACCTGACAATAGTATTTAGAGAAGGTGCGTGACAAAATCTCCACTCCCTATAATACACTACCAGATCCCGCTCCGAAGAAGTTTTTGTTCGTTTTTTTTTTTTTTTTTTGCTTGCCGAGATATGAGCCAGAATGGTTCATTGACCGGCCAGCCAGGCCTCTTTTCTATGTAGAAGTATAAATGGAATGGCATCATAAATCGTGCGACAGTTGGATGCTTTTCAAATACTAGACGATTTACTGTTACCGCAAAGCATAAATTATGTTTGCGTGTATAATATCACATGGTAAACTTATTAAAAAGTATATGTAATACAGTGCGAAAAATTTTATGATCTTTTCCCAAATCGGTATCAGCTCAAAATAAACATCGTAAACAAATAGTCAAAGCCGCATTGAGGCTATGTTGATCGACAGGACAGTCAGCCAAATAACGTCATGCAAGTTATACTTTTAGGATGTCTGATGAAATTCACCGGCAAGATTATTTAATATCTGAATACAGTCTTTCGGTAATCGGAAATTGGCTTCTTTAATTTTTCGTTTCCAATGAGTGGTTTCATTTATGAAATTTTACATGATTGCGTTTTACGCATTAGTCTATTCTGGACCTGAACACAAATATTGTGAATTTACGCCGTGGGAAAAGTCTAACCAAACATTTCTTCTAATCTCGTCATGCTCACGATTCAGTCACTTTTTACATAACAAAAGTTCTCGAACGGGGAGTCTCGCTACAATATTGTGGTTGGTAGGAATTTCTAAGTCAACCGTCAAATCGTCATAATTTTTTATAGCTGTTTTGTTTCTTTCCCTTCCCCCAGAGCGACAATCCACTTTTCGACAACCTCCATAACAAACTGCTTTAGTACACGTTTAATTTCTTCACAATTGTTCAGCTCGTATACATTAACCGCGAGTAGGGGGAGATGAAGAATCTTCTTCCATACTGCCTCATCGATAAATTTTTGTAAATTGTTCCGAACTAACCCCCCTCTAATATAAGCAAACAATTTTATGGTAAATATTAGACGAATAAATGTCAAAAATATTAATTAAAATATATTTTACTGACTCATATTTTGCCCTGTACTCTGCTGCGGTTTTCCGGAATAATTTATTAACCTGATAACGAAGGTTATCCATAACGCAGGCGATTTTTTTCGCAATTCTTGGTACTTCGGGGTTGGCACGTGTAGTTTCTATTATTTGTGAGGCAAGCTCCTCGTATAACTCGGATGTATTATTGCGTGTTCGTAAAAATAAAGCTCGCGATTCTTTATATATACGGTCTTCAATAAGCTAGAGATAATTTTTAAGTCAATATTGATCCGTTGAATTCAAAAACTAAATACCTATTACTCACATTCTGATTCAAACCGCGTGTTATAGGTATTTCTTCGTCGACATAATCCTTACATTCTCCAGAAACTGATCGCTCCTTTGATTTATAAATCAATTGCGCCAGACGTAATACTGATGGTCGCTCAGCAACCCACATGGCGGCTTCAAATTCCGAGTTTATATTTAGTTCGGTGGGTGCTGCTGGAACTGTTTTTTCTGTCGACGGGAAGATTACTGATACTTGAGGGATCGTTCATGGTAACTTTCATCAAGATTGGGTGATGAATAACCTGTAAAGTCATATTATTTTCTAAGTCAACGTTGACAAAGCTCACAACTAAGCATCCAGTAAACGCATCACCTTCCAGAATGGAGTCATCATCGTCGAGAGGATAATCAACATCTTCTTCCACTATTTCTTGTCTTGGAATATCCAATATATCTGAATTGTGAAGTTAGGCTTAAAGGTGCATTATCATACCCCGTATATCGATGCGCTTTAGGAAAAGAGACTTACCTGGTTTCCTTCTTTTGTTGATTGGTAGTGACGGAGATGGTCGTGACATCGAAGTATCGTCGTTAATGCTTGTGCGTTTTGCTGCCGCTTTGGCATTTCTCGTTTTTGCTTGAGATTTCTTATGCAACATCTTGGTGTTCTCTGTCGGTAACAAAGTGAGTAAAATTTTTGACAGCAAGACCTGACATATATATTCGAGCATATCAAATAATCCATTATTAATATTAATCGGGAGCGTGTCGTGTGTCGTGATGTTTTCATTTCTAGATCGT